TGATCATCCTTCCATGTACTAGAACATATTCCTACGTGCCAGACCCAAAAATTCTGCCAGGATGTATTGGGTACAATCTTAGCTCCAATGATAGGGGTAATAAACCTACTACACATCTCTATGTTCTAGGATTTCACCTGTTAACTGTTCTTTGGAAAAACATATAACAACAAATCAATGATTCAAGTAGCCTCTAAACGTGTCTCTAACAAAAAAATAACTTTCAGAGAACTTTAGACATACTGTAAACTCTCATCATGAATAAGAGGAGTAAGTCTTTCTTGAGGCAGCAAGTAACAGCTTTTTGCAATGAATTCTGAATATTAATCCCTACAGTGTTTTACTAGATAGTCTAATGCATTTACGCTGCTAATTCACATAAAATTTCCAACTTTAAAAAACAATTATTTTTGCCACGAATATTGTGTAGAAGACAGCTTTATAGATTAGCTGTAAACCACACAGCAGAATATTTGTTAAACTCTCTCTCATCTGCAGCTTTCTAATTTCATTTTATGTCTCTGTTATTGCCTGGTAATGAAAGGTAAACAAGAGAGCTTCAATAGTTTGTTCTATGGCCACTCATAGTCAGATCTTAACTAGTTGTCCTTTTGACCTGTTTTCCAAAATGTATGAAGCTGTAATGTCTGTATTAATTTTCCCTTGTGACACTGTACTTTCCCCTTGACTCCTTCTATCTGTAGTTTCATCTTGTCCCTGAATCCCTTTTCATCTTTGCTTCTGTCTCTCCCCACTATCACTTTATCTGTTAACTGTCTATTCCAGAATTAATCACTTTAGCTAATCAAAATGCTGACAGTGACATCAAGTTTGGTTACTTGTGTGTCCTTCACTTTATGAAGAAATACCTGGTTTAAAATAAGCAAACAAAGAAAGGTGTAAGACATATTTGATAATACATTTATTAGCAATTATGACATTATTTGGTTCACACTGGAAGAGATGTGAACCAAATATTTGTTAAAATCTCTCTGCCTGAGCTTCTCTCTCACAATTAGAAATAGGAATGACAAAAGTAATCAAGTCTGCTTAGTGTAGTAAGGATGAAGCTTCAGCAACAGAATCCTGCTGTAGATTCTGCCATGACTTTATGCTAACACTATGGGTTTAGCCTACTGACATCAAAAAGCACAGTGAGAATGCTGTGTCCCAAATTCCATAGCATTTTTCTAATCCATTATTACAAATTACAATAAAACACATTAGCTAATTATAAATCATTACCTTCTCCTGCTCAGGTAGATACTCTGAATCCCCAGTGTCTCAGAACACCATATATCATCTAAACATGAAGCTTGATTATCCTGCAAAATCTTGGGCATATTTCGTAAGGGGAGGTATGGGAAAGCATCTGGTATGACCACTGTTACCATGGAACTCGTTAATTCTAGTCACTGAGCATCCCTAGCAAAGTATATAAAATATCTCCATGGCACTGATATCCACATAAAGGCAAGCAATCTACCATTGTGTCCCAGGACACGCTGGGTTCACTGTAAGAAAGATAAACTAGGTCGAGGTCTCTGGATTTCTCCAAAATCCATATGGAATGGTGTAGGATATGGGGTTATAATTGTTAAAGTGGTTAAGGCTTTTGCTCACCAGAAGGCCCTGTGGGGAAGGCACAGCTGCAGGCTGGACGTTGGAAGTCGGCTGAGGGGTGAGCAATGATTATAAGTGAGGAGAGTCAGTTAGTGACAGCGGGAAGTGAGACTGTGATTGGCTGGAGGAACGCGTGGACAGCGGATGAGTGGGAAGCTGATTGGGTGGAAGGACACGTGGACAGCAGCACTGCAGCTGGGCCGGCCAATGGGTGCCCTCTTTCTGTTAAGTTCTGTTAGGCTTTGGTTTGGTTTCAGTTATGGTAGGTGGAGATTAAAGGTATAAAAAGGGTGCGATTTCTACAATAAAGTCATCTCCTTTGGACGAATAAGGGAGTCTGTGTCGCTTTGCTCCCCATTGCTACAAATGGCTGTTGTGCCATTTGCACCTGCTAATCATGCCATAAAGCTAACTGCATAAGCAAAATAGCAAACTGCATATTCCAAATGCTAAAGGGAATAATAACAACAACATGTAAGGGGGTTCAGAAGGAAAAATGTGGGTGATAATTAAAATTTGTCTCTCGGCACAGATATGTTTTGGATCACCACACAACTGTTCATTTGTAGATTAGACTGTGAAGCACCATTTTATTGGAGACAAGGTACCCACCGTGCTGGCAGTGTGTGAAACTCAGACTCTGACATGCCACATTAATTCATGGCTATTTTATCTTCTTACTTATTCTAACATCTATAATGTTATATATAATTTATTTCATATTTTTTTCAGTGCACCATCAGCTGTCAGTGTGGCAGGTGGCAATCAGCCTGCAATACTTAGCTGCAGAGATGGAGAGAATTTCGCAAGAACAAATGAACAGGAAGAAAGTAGGACCACTAGCAAAGGGCACCAAAAAAAAAAGAGGACAGCAGGACTTTTTAGAGAATACATTAGAAAGAGGCTGGACGTGTGTAGAATAGAAAAAGGTAAGTAGCTTGGAACAAGATAGAGAAATTGTTTGCTAAGAGGAATATGCTTCTGACAACTGTCCTTAATGTCTAAACTTCCTGTACCTGTCTAGCTTTCAGATCTGCTATCTTAACCAAAGGACAATTGTGAGCAGAGTGCTCTACAACAAAGCCAGGCTGCTGCTCAAGATGCTAATTCTGGGTCTGAAACCTCCTGGTTAGGTGAGCTGGGCCAGTTGCTCTCCCTGATTTTTAAGTTTTTACATCTGTAAAAGAAGAATATAATCATGCCTCATGGGGATGCTTACAGGAATTCCTAGGTAATATGTGTTCAGAGCTTTGAGCTTGAGGAGTGCTATAGATATAATCATGAACCTGTCCACACAGACTATCATTTCTTTAAAAAGACAACTGCCATCTCAGTCTAAATAGGGAACATTACCATCCACCCTGCAGCCTGATCCCTACCTCTGCCTGATCTGGAACATCCTCCATCTTCTGGGAATGATTCCCATAAAGGAACACAATTATTTTAGAATATTATCCCTAACTGAACTGAACATCAACCCAAACAATGCCACAGTCTAAGACTAAGATAAAAAAAGAAGCAGAGTAGCACTGATATAAAGTGACCTGCTGAAATCAGAGGAAAAGCGAATATTAAGGGAAGAACAGTCTTTGCTGGGCCTATGAGATGGACAACTCCACCTAGTATAGCTCTTCTCTCTCTATTTTGTACAGTTTTGTGAGTCCCAAAGCAGCAAAAAGAAAAGCACTGCAGGATCCATACAGAGAAGTGTCAAGGAGATGGGTAAAAAACCAGAGAGAACCTGGCATAGGCAGATGCATTGCAGCTCCCTGTGGACATGAAGGCCAGGTGCATCTCAGGGCTGGTGCTCAAGACACAAGGAATGTCCATCACCCATCCCCCTGCTCCCCTGCAACCACCAGGTTGGCCCTTCTGTGTGGTCTGTGCTGGGGCAGCTCAGCAGCTGACACACATGTTGTGTCTTCTTCCAGCAAGGATGAAATGGAGACTTTATTTGAGTTCCTTCCTTTAGAGGAGGTTAGGAAGGACCTAACATTCCCTTGTGTGGGATTAAACTCTTGTCTTTCTTCACTTCACGGCACTGTGGGCGGATGATGCTTCCCGCTGATGCGCTGGCACTGGAGGAGGGATGGGGAGAACTCGGGCGCAGGGCCGGCAGCCCCTTCGGGAGAGCGCACGGTCCCTCAGCATCCCTTGCTGTGGCCCTTTCCAGCCTTCTCTCGGCAGCCCCTGGGCTCACGTCTCTCCCCAGCCCTCGCCCCTCAGGCGGGGCCCAGCAGCACCCGCCTGCCCCGGCCATCACCGGGCCTCCCGCCCCCGGCCCCGATCCGCCTCTGCTGCCTCCCGGCCCACAAGTCCTGGGGCGCCCGCACCGCCCATCGGGCACGGGCACAGGCAGGACTCGACCACCTCCTCACCATCCCCGGCCTCCTCTGCCGGCCCCGGCTCGGTTCCCCGCCCCTCCTTCCTTTCCCCGCTCCCTCCCCCGCCCGCCCACAGGCGCACGCACCGCACTCACACTCTCACACACACAGAGACACACACACACCCGGAGCCGATGCAGCTTTAAAGGGGCAGCTGCAGCCCAGGGGCCGCCCCACGTGAGGCCGGTGCGCTCCCGCCGACCGCAGCCCCGAGCACTGAATTGCGGCCGGAGCCGCCGGGGCTGGGCAGGCGGGCCGGCCGAGCGGAGCGGAGCGGCTGCCAGCCCTCCTCACGCCAAGTTTGATCGATAACCCCCTCCCGGCCCGGGCGGAGCAGCCTCGGCGGCTTCGCTACCCACCATCTTTGGGGGAAGTCCCTGCGTTGGGGGGGGCTGCTGGAGACGGGGGAGAAAGGCAATCTCGCAGCCAATGAGCCCTGCTAGACTGGGGTGAAGACGAGAGCAGAGGGATTTGGGGAAGGAAAGGATTAAAAAAAGAGACGAAAGGAGGGGGACCATCCTCCCCACCACCTCCGCCAGCATCGCCACCACCGTTGACACCGCTCCGAGTCTCCAGTTGCGCCCATGCCTGTGCCGCCAGTTTCGGTTTAGGGGCTGAACCGCAGGGGCTGAAGAAAATGGGGCAGAGCGCGCCCCGGACCCTGCTGCTGCTGCTGGCGGGGCTGCTGGGGGAGGCACTGGCGGGGTTCCCCAACACCATCAGTATAGGTAAGCGCCCGCCGCGGCACCGCGACCCGCGCCTTCCCTGCCAGCCGTGGGGAAGTTGTGTGCAGGGGAGCGGGGGGCGAGCCCGGGTGCCGCGGGGAAGGCGCCAGCCCTGCTCCGCTTCCTTCCCCTTTCTGGGGGCGAGAGGCAGCGGCGGTGCCCGGGCTGCGCCGGCGGGCGGCTGCGAGGGGCGCCGGGCTGCCCGCACCCCTCCGAGCAGCGGGGATCGGGTCCGCGCTCTGCGGAACCCTGCCTTGGAGCAGCGCATCCCGTGGAGCACATAATGTGAGAGAGTCGTGGCGTGAATCTCTAGCGACGTGCCCGAAAGCCGGGGCCGAGCGAGCCGTGAGGCTCCGGGCAGCGAGTGAAGTGGGGGCTGTTCCCTGCCGTCTCTCGGAGCATCATTTCCCTCGGCCGCACTATCGCTCCACCAGACCGTGAAACCGCACGTTTGCCACGCCGCACGCCGCCGTGTCCCCGCACATAACTACAGCGGCGATATTTCGGTAGTCTGGACAGGATTTAGGAGCCACGGTTCCGCAAGTTAGACTTCTAAATCTCTGTGTGAGCGAGCATCCGTGTAGAAGTGGCCTGGTTTTCAAGGTGCACCTGCAGCTCCAAGCGACTCAGGGGGCACCTGGATGTGGTGTGTGGCTTTAAAAGCCTGACTTTGGACTTGGAATAAGTGTTTCATGTAGGTACTCTGTCAGAGTTATGTGCTCAGGTTCAGGCTGCTCCTGTTCATTCTCTCCTGCAGTGTGCAGCAGGCAAATACAGCTTATTGCCATTGTTTCTCCTCAAAATTAATTCTGAAATTCCTTTTCCCTTTTTTCCTTTTTTTTTTCTCCTCACCTAGGTGGACTTTTTATGAGGAACACTGTTCAGGAGCACAGTGCATTTCGATTTGCTGTGCAGCTATACAACACAAACCAAAATACCACAGAAAAGCCCTTCCATTTGAACTATCATGTAGATCACTTGGACTCTTCCAACAGTTTTTCAGTGACAAATGCTTGTAAGTAAATACCTGGTTTTAAAAAATATATTCATTTGTTATCTATCCTGCATTCAATTCCTTCCTGCTAGCCTAGAGTTCTTGGTCATACAATATAGTGCAACAAATGTGTGTAGTGACTGGAGGTTTAGTAGATTTGCAGAATTATATGGAATACCTTAGGAAAAGTTCTCTCACCACTTCATGCCCTTAGTTTTGTTTTTCACGAAAACAACCATGTTGTTGATAATAGCAGTGCTGTGTAGCTTCAGTCAGTGAATTGCTGCTGAAGTAAGATCCCTCTTCTGTTGAGGCTACAACCTAGCTGTGTGAAAAGGCATAATTTGCAAATAATATGTAGGGGAAAACCAGAAGCAACTGTTTAGAAGTGACCTTGAGGTGAGAAGGCTAGAGGGGTTTGCTTCCCTCATCTGCCTTGAAATACTGAGTTGTTTTCTTCCAGTTAGAGTCCTGTGAAAAGCTGAGGAGACTGTAAACTGACACATACTGTTAGAGCTGAGGGGAGAGAAAATGGAATCAGAGCACTTGGCGTAAGGAGAGATAGCTCTGCACAAGCAGTGCACGCGTAGAATTTAAGCTTTTATTAACAGAAGATGCAAAATAGAATTTTGAGTGTTGCTAATGTGGTGTTAAAATGCGAAATCTCTTTCAGAAAGACTTACGCGTGTTCTGCATTTTAAAAGGCATTCCTTTACCAATAGTAGTTACTGGATATTTGTTTTACTGGTGTATCCAAATTTGATTCTATGCAAGTTTTATTGTAAATCTTTGAAAATGAAATGAGTCCTCTTCCAAAGTAACTAATGCACTTTGCAGTGTGGAGATATATGTCTGCACATGATCTAATGGACCACTGAATGCAATGTACTAACTTTACATTATGAACAGGTTTCTTTTCACAGTTTGCAGGTTTATACTCACGGTATAAAATGGTCAAAGAGGAAGCATTTTACTGAAATAATGAAGTACTGAAGTACAGAAGACTAGTATTTTTTGCTTTAAAACAGTTCTAGGCTTTCAATGACTTATTTATTTTTTTATTTGCAAGAGATAGCATAGTTCTTACATTCCTGTCCCACTGTATATTTTGAGAAAGTTGATGGTTAAAAAATATACAGTAAGGAAATATTTGGACAAATTTTGGATTGATATTCTAACATATCCCCCATGTGACTGCTTCTTGGTAGTGCAGTGTTACACTCTCCAAAGGACTTTGAAGTAGGACCTTTAACACTTTTGCAGGGGGGTTAATTTTGTAATATGCAATAAAAATAATTGGTCAAGATGGGAAAAAATGGTAAATAAAAGTGTGTCTCTACTTTGCATCTTATTTTACTAATCCTATTGAGCCTTAACAACTCTTACAACAAACGTCAGACTATTAATCCTTAATCAGTGTAATCCCTTCAAGAGGCTGTATCTCAAACACAGTTTCCTAAATATCAATTATATGGATTTAAACTAAATATGTTAAACTGCTTGGGTGATTAATTATTAATTGTTTTTTAAAAGTTGTTACCAGCGCTTCTTCCACCAACAGAAATGATCCACTTGTTCGCGGGCAGTCAGGATATTTAGTCAGTGTTCTGCTCATCTTCTGACATCTAATGATTTTTGTCAATGCTTAATAAATCCTGTGGCAGTTTTAGTAAAGTGGGACGGTTTTCTGTAGTACCAGGCTCCATGTTCCAACACCCATATTACCAGTATAGTAAAACTGGGAAGACTTAAATCTCTGGAGAAACTGTTGACCAAAGAATACGTACTTACAGTAACCTATTTAAAAGCAGAAGATGTGAAAAAAGAAACAGACAAAAGAAAATGAAAAGGCGACTTTGTCTGTACTGTGTCAACCATCTCATAATACTGTTGATAAGAAAAGAATATGGCAGGTCCAAGACACCAGTCATAGGCTTCAGTAGCTCAAAATATAAAAAACCTCATCAGAACAGTTGTTCTTTTGAATCTGGTACCAG